CTGCAACCTGCAACCCTGACCTGGTAGTTTGCACGCGAATTGCATCCAGGTCAAGCTAAAGTTTTGTGACATCAGCTCTTTGCTAGTGCCGCAGACATGCGTACTACTGGATTAAAAAAGAAGCAATATCTTGGTTTTATAGTTATGCAAACTAACGAATAACTTATACAAAATTTCAATCAGTTGAAGATATTTGCTTCAAAATTTAGTTGCGAGATGTCACCAGATGTAAATTAAAACAAACTTGTTTCTTGTTTTAATAAATGAAAATTTTACAAGGCAAAGATAACAAAAAGTTTTTAACGAAGATACCTCAAAACTCTATTATTTTCGAATTCTATTATAACTGGAGAGACGAGTCAAAATATTGTCGAAAATCCCGTTGCATTTTCCAATAAAAGAGATTGATACTGGTGTTGCAATGTCTTAATTAGTCCGGCGCCCCGTCCGAAACGTTACGGCTTCGGTACGGTACGGCTCACCGTTTCATCGTATACCTTAATTAATGTACCCCTCTCCTTCCGTTTATTCCAAACAACTGTCCGATTTTGTCCGATTTCATGTTACCATCGTCAGACAGAGTATTTCTCTTTTAAACGAGATTTGACGCAACTACCAAAATTAAGAAACTTCAATTCGTTTGTTCATAACTAAAACCGATTTTGTTTATTAGTCGGTATTTTCCAATATTGGTGTTTCAGTAGAATTCGACTTTGATAAATTGAAATGTTCAGTGCTGAGCTATTTTTGAAGTACTCGCTCAAGAATATTATTAATATTTTTACCTGTTTGTCTCTCTAAAAACGATATCAGAATGGGTACCTAGATTTTTAGTACCAAGTACAAATTATATTAAATGCTCATCACATTTTCAGTGTTAGTTTAGTAAAAATGCAGTCCATTACATAACACGGTCAACTCAGTAAATAAAATATAATATTTCATTTGATAAGCTTATTTGTAACTCATAAAAATAAGGTCTAGTTTCATTTGAATTTTTTCTGAATAATTATCAAGAAAGTTAGGTCTAGTAATTTGTGAAAGTTGTAATAAACTGCCAAAAATCGTTAGCGTAATAGAAGTAATTGCTAAAGTTTTGATTGCTACTTCGTTAAGTAATGGTTAGGTTACGTCGATGAACTGAATTTATCACTAGGACTATTTACGTTTACTTCAGTTGATTATTACGCCTGTCTTGTTCGAAAGGGTTGGGTAGAAATGATTTGGTTATATAAATTTAGTTAGGTAATAAATATTGAGTACCATTCTGTGCTCAGTGATATAACTGAGGCAAATTTTGAAAGGGGAAATCTTTAAAAATTTGCAATTCAAAAAAATAACCACAGAGAAGACAATTCGCATGTCTGTAGCCCCAGGCTTGGTTCACAGAACGTAAATTGGTAACATTTTTACACAAAACAATGTTTTGAAACATAATTTAAAAAATATACTTTTCCTTCTAATTACGAGAAGTAGGGCAACAGTATCATCTGTTGTAATGGAGCTTAGAAGATGGTGGACGAGGTACACACAGCTGCACATCAAGCTATAAGTATCCAGGGTATCATGGTCTCTTTTTATATGGTCTCTCCACACATTTCACGGTTGGTTTATACTGGTTGTGTGTAGCTCGACGTGGAGCTAGTGACGTCGGTTGGCGTACAAATGAAATTACGACCAGAAAATGTTAGGTCTAACTAAAACAAACGCTAGCTTTAAGTTTTACGGTGTTCTGTGGATACTCTAACACATTAACTATGCAACATGTTTGTTTGTTTGTATGTTTTGTTCCTATAACGTATACTGGGGGAAATTTTGATATCGTAAGTTGGATAAATCATTTATTTATGACTAGCTTTTACCCGCGGCTTCGCTCGCGTCATAAAAGGATAAAATGTAGCCTATGTGACATATACCAATACACACAGCGCCATCTATACCAATAATTTCGTTTTTCCTCGAGAATATTAAACTTCACGTCTGCAAAAATTCAAAACAATCGGTTCAGTAGTTACGGCGTGAAAGTGGAACAAACAAACAAACAAAATCACTTTCCGATTTATAATATTAGTAAGGATGATAGTTAGTTACTTTAGGTGAAATACATTTAACCTTCTCATACATAATTGTTCCTTGGTATTGCAATAATATGTAATGACAATACTACTACACTAGCTTCTACCACCAGCTTCTCCCGTATTCCTGTAGGATATAAAGTGTCCTATATGTTAAACCAGATCATAATCTACCTTTCTTCTAAATTTCTACTCGATCCCTTCAGCCATTTTGTCGTGAAAGAGTAACACAGAAACAAAGAAGCATACAAACTTTCCCAGTTACAATATGAATAGGATAAAACAATCATTTTCCAGATAAAACACATGGTACACACAACACATGGTAGATGTTCCGCCCACACGCACGAAGCGCTTCGCTTCAAGCTTCCTTGTGCGTACTGCTAAAGAGTGGAATTCTTTGCCAGAGTCTGTATTTCCTGAAGGGTATAACCTGGGAGTCTTCAAGGCCCGAGTGAATAGGTTGCTTATGGGACGACGTGCTCCAACGTAGACCGCATCATCGCTTACCATCAGGTGAGATAGTGGGCAAACGTCGCCCCATCAATTATATACGTTTATGTAAAAATTGTGGTGTAAATACGTGTAAACACCCACTCGGTTCGGCAACTCTCTCGGCCGAGAGCTGATTTACTGTCCCAAATTGTCTATTTAACTAAGTTGTGTTTTATTGTTGGAGTTTTTTTAAAGTAGAAGGTTCACGTCCTCAGGCCTTCATATTGCTCGTACCATAATAACTGAATGTATAAAAAAAAAAATTTGTCAGATAGTCACAAAAATCTGACAAAGCTTTCTATACAAAACATAGATACGGACTCAAAAAAATTCATAAATAGTTTATTCAACAGTCGACTCGACACAAAACCGATTTTGCTCGCTATGAATGTTAAAACCTAAATAAAACTGTAGAGCATTTTATCAAAAACATTTTTGCATGTTAATTGTTCAATTTCTAGGAAAACACTGAATAACTTTTGTCAGCTCCCATTATTTTTCTATTTTCCGTTCAGTAACAGTTTTGACTGAAGCCTTGTTATGCGTTTTAGATTTCATTCGTGTTTTGTAAATGTGAAACTATGAGATTTTGTAGTGAAATTAAACAATTTTGCAACAGAAATAAGTTTTCTGTGAGGAATCATTATCGTTACGTGTAGGAATGTATATTACGTAAATAGAGGGTGAATAAGTACTTTCCATATTAATAGGGATGATGACAGGGTATACAAATTAAAAATCTAATTAGTCCGTAAGTTAGTTATTAGGTTATTAAAAAAATATTAGACACGCATTTTTTTACTTTGTCGTATAATAAAACAATACTTAGATGTAACGAATCAATGATTAGGAGTGGATGCTAAAACCGACTAAAACGTCATTTATATATATATAGAATAATGTACATAGAAGTGACGTCACGCTACGTTTCAAATCAATATTGGTCGAAAGTATTTCGTTTCTGTAAGAAAACAAAAAATACGTGCCTAATGATTTAAAATGATCCACCAGACGGTCATTAAAATAGAAATTAGGCATCTACCCTATTATCTGTAATTACATTATAGCCAAGTTTTTTGAAATAAAGTTCTGTTTCACATACACACGTTGCTCGAGAGATGAATGAACTAACATTATAACAATAACGCTAAGTAAAACTTTATTTATTTTGGCGTCAAAGTACCCAAGCAATGTGTACTTAATATTAATAATTCAAACGTCTAAAGTATTTTCTTGATCTTGAAACTTATAAGACTCAAGTAGAAGCTAGACGTAAGCAACTTAAACCGCATTTATGAATAAATTTAAGTAAATTTCTTGGAAAATTTGATACCTTTTTGACTTTTCTATTCATTGTTCATATAAATATGAATGTAATTTAATTTATTCTAATGGTATATCTTGATTCTTATTTGCGAGACAACTTACAATTGGAATTAATAACTAGCAACTGTAACCAAATGCCATTTAGCGCTTGCCTACATGTAGAATAGAAAACCTAATATGGAATTGACGTAAATTTTGACACTTGTCAATGTCACCCTTATACATTTAGTTTTCTGCTCCCTTGCCACTTTTCACTATTTATATTACGAGTCCCATGTAATAGGGGGTAAGCCTATTGCCATATAACGGGCACAAATCCAGACTCCATGCTATTACTGAGATCTTTTTAAAAAACCCAGTAATACTTTGCCCGACCCGGGAATCGAACCCGAGACCCCTTGGCCAGCAGTCGCACTTGCGATCACTCGGCCAATGAGGCAGGTGGCTAAACCAGGTAATAAACTGGCCTATATACATGTTAAGGTATTTCAAACACCAATGACTGAACTGAATAATATTTATTCAATAATTCATTAAATTGGAACACTAGTGATAAGGCGAAGCTGTGTTGTTAACCAACCCTGCAGTTGCTCCCTTGTGACAAGGGTTTTAATAGACAAAGAGTTTGTCATTAACCTCGCTACCATCGTGCTTCGCAGTTAATTGTCCATTTTTGTCCGCGACACATTCGATTTTCTTATAGAAATTATAAAATTAATTAATGTAAATGTGAATGTGAATTGGTCTGTTTATAATGATTTTACTTTTAAATAATCGGTGTCTGCAAATATATTTTATTTATATTTTAATTATTTGTTAACAATATATTAGTATTATTGATATTTACGAAAACTCAAGAGACAGTAAGTACCTAATTAAAATAATTATATTTATTTATGCATCGTAGATAATTTAAAAAAGTAAGAATTTTTAATGTATGATTTGTTGTAGCGCATGTTGTACATGATTATAGGTCCTAGCGAGGCTTGAAACTAGTTGGGTCAAGTTGAGTACCCTCGAACATTTACAAGAGCAAAACATTGATTCCAATTATATGTATGGTATCGTGTATGTCTCACGATTAACTCAATTGTAGGTACTTACCAATCAGAGTCAGGATCATGGAGGTGGAGACGTATGCCAGAAGGATGATGCCAAGACTGTAGACAATAGCTAGAGGAATAGATCGCTTGGGGTTGTTGGCCTCTTCGCCGGTGGTCGCGATGATATCAAAGCCAATAAAGGCATAGAAACACGTTGCTGCTCCGGTGAAAACCTGTGTAAGAGAGAAAAGAAATATGTTTTACTGTATGTTTGTACAATTATTTGTATAAATCCTTAATCCCCAAAACGGCCGGCAACGCACTTGTAACTCTTCTGATGTTACGGGTGTCCATGGGGACGGCGCTGATTGCTTATCATTAGGTGATCCGTCTGCGCGTGTACCACCCTATCCAGTATAAAGAAAAAAAGAGTTTTCACGATTTGCCACATCGTTGTTATAAAGAGTGTTTTTAAATTCGTGAATGATAAATTAGCACTGAAATATGTATAACGTTTAATTTTATAGAAGTAATGAAATACAGAAACATCAATTTCATTGGTCAATGGTAAGAGCTTCTGGCTAGCTAGAACCAAAATAGAATGCCTAAAATAATAACGTACGTCTGCAAATTTAGGCGAATAAGTCGTTCGTGTGGCTGCGTAGCATTTCTGTTATCGAAATATCTTCCATCAAACATTTATGTGTATGTGCCAACAGACTTCACTCTAATGTGCTAAAATTTTAGCTTTACAATTTGTAATAAGGTTGCTTATCGATTGCAGATGACATATTAAAATAGATCAAACCGTTTATTTAGCGTTGTAACTAGGTAACAGAGGATATATTAATGCGTATTATATAATAACAACAGATAGTTATCCGACAAGCCCTTTGTGTGCTTTACAATTTCCGAAAAGAACTAAAATACTGAGTCGCGAAAAAATAAACCTTAATAAATTAAAAGAGTTCCAAGTAAAAAGAGGTCAACATTAATTAACAGTTCAGCTGGTGGCAATTACAGTAAAATAACTTAGTTTGTAAAAATTATAAAGGTCCAATTTGAAATAGACAAAAGATTTTTATAGAGTAACAAGGAAATAAAATTACAACGTCTACTTTTTTTTTAATTAAACGTTTCCCCACACTAGGATTTTCTACTGTGTAGTGGGTGCGTTTACGAACATTCAATATCACATACACATGGCACCCAGACTCAGAGCAATAATTTGTTGATCACACAAAGAGTTGCTCCGTGCGGGAATCGAACCCACTACACGTTGCGCGGCAGTGCAGTTTTGTAGGTTGACAGTCCAATGTTGGACTATGGCGCTCCTGATCCTCTACGAGGGATAGCCATTGTCTCGGTGCTTGACACACAGGTGGAGTATAAAAGTGAGATGTCAGTCATGCAATTCATCCGTTGATAATCTTAAAATTCAATCACATTTTTGGCCGTGTAGGTAGGTAACTAAACTGAGAGATATAATACTCTACACTAGCCTGAAGTCTTCAAATATTAGTCCATTACCTTATCTTCTCTTGTAAAAAGCCGTTGTTTTGAATACATGCCATTTTACCCACAAGTTTTTAATACCTAAAGAACTAACTAAGTAGGTATATCACTTATATTTAGCGCTCGGCCGGTGCCTATTTTTACCGACTTCAAAAAAGGGCGCCGACTTCTAACCTATCAGTGGGTGGGTAACCTATCAGTACTAATAATAGTTAATTTTTGCATTTTAGTTTTGACTTTTTGTTTGTTATTAGTTTTTGGTCGATTGAAGTCGGTTTTTGAAGTCGGTTTTTTAAACGCAATGTTTATTTTAATCCCACCCGTTGGGAGAAATGTAGAGCATACATGGAAATAATAATGATAAAAAATAACATACAAGTCTACGCTGATTTTCTTATTTTCAAAATGTCAAAGCGTAATGCTAAATCACCACCAATATTTCCCAAGGATAAAATGCAACAATATTTTATTGTAATACACTCCGGCTGTCCGAGATTTGAGAACAATCTCGAACAACTTTCCAAACGTCAGGATTGATAAATTCTTTGTTAGATGCATATAATATATTTGCGATCTTTGAGTATCAAACGGTACACAAACAAACACTTTTGTCGTTTTTTTAAACAAATCATAAGATTAGATTACAGGCAGTTACGAAAAATTTTACGAAAACCGAAAAATTTCTATCAATACATTGCAACTTGATAACTAGGCCTGACACCTTGACTATTCGACTATCAAGCCAGTATATTTATTAAATACATTTATAACCATAACGCGTAGCATGTAAAACGTAACTACATATTGATATACCTATTATTATCTTTGATCTTTTGGATTAATGTCGACAATATACAAATTGTATGTTATATTAAAGTAAACAGTTAATGCGTTGGAAAATTCCCTTCCAACTCAACGAATGCGGTTTTAATGTTGAAAATGAATGTATACAGTGAACTGTTTATCAACGAAACCAGCAACCAATTAGTTAATACCACATACGGTACGAAATGCCAAGTCAAAGACTTATTATGCATTAAGTAAGTACTACTTCATTTCAACAAAATAATACCCCGAAATGTCTAATATTACTCTTCAAAATGAAGCTTTGTAGCTACAATGAAGTATGAATTTAATGTAGCATAATTATAAGCCTCAATGTAGATTCCATCTCTTGTTCTAAAACCCTATTTTGTGTAAAATATTATTGCTAGTATGCACTCGAGTCAATGCAGCATACTCTACTGTATTGTTTATAAAAGGAGTCATGGTTTCCTTTATATACCAAATACTTTTGTTAGCTTCTACTAATTTGTATCTAAAGGTGTGTTACGTCATAACCTAGATAGTTGCTTTAGGAAATTAGTTTCTCCTCGGCCAAGATACACATATTCATGACGGATATATACCCGGGTTAATTCTGAATGTTAGTGTTCTACTGGGACCAAACATAACTTGTACTCCATAACATAGGTATACGAGCAAAGTCAAGACCTGTTGTTCAGTTCTCGGCAGTAAAATTCCAAAATAGATAGTCCTACATACATTTAAAACAAAGGGGTGATATATTACTTAACAATATAAAGATTACCGTTGAATCTGCAGCTTTAAAAATTGCGATCTTAAAGTTGATTGTCAAGCGTGGAGGTTATGACATGGAGGTTATGGTAGTAAATGGTCCTATTGATGTGATGGCCTACTTCTCGCAGTGACTTCGCTGTTACTTATTATCTCTCTTGGTTGAGAAGTCAAACACGAAAGTAGGACTCGTCTGGCGACAGCGCGGATCAGACGACCGTTGTCCCCAACCTAGATACCTACCGATAAAATCCCTCAGTTACATTCAAGCTCCCGTTGTTTTCTCAGACAGTGACCGAGATCGTGAATGAATGAATGTTTGATCCAGTTCACGATGAAATATTGAAGTGACCAATTTCCTAATATAATCAATTTGTAGGTAACGTCTTTGTAAAATAAAATTCTTTGCCATTAATGTTTTAAAAAAAAATGATGTACATTTTCAACAATATTTTTTTGTTAAAATATGTAGCTACGTAAGAAATTTGAAATACATACGGCATAAGTTGTTACGATCTTTACTTTTAACAAAATTTGCTAAGGTTACCGATCTCAGTCCCATTTAAATGTTAGTTGGGCCATAGAATAGGTACTAATAAGTGGTTCATATAATTAATATGGTACAAGCACATAAACTGAAAGTACTTGCCTATCCATTCAGTGACTAAACATATCTTTTAAACACGTCCCAGATATATGAAAGCTGCTCGTTGCAATAAAGTAAAGCAGAACTTTTATGAAACTCAAAATGAAACGAGCTTGGATCGAACCTGCGTTACGCATACTTGCAACTTACTTTAATAATATATTTGTAGTGTCTGCTCATGTAATGCTGTAAGCGCTTTAGCGTGAGCGTAATATATGCTCGTTTATTAGTTTCTGGGATCCCTTGTGTTATGTCGATGAAGTAATAATATGTGTAGCTCTCAAGACTGAACTTAATGTGTATATGCGTTACTCCATATGCTTATAACCGGCAATTCTGTTATCCGAATTGAAAAAGACAGAGCCCGGGGCTGTCAAACGCAAACGCAATTCAGGATCGATTAACTGTTTTTTAGTCTAGTATTGTCGTTTAGCTGCTCTCTAGTAATTGATTTTTAGCTTATACTAATTTTAATTCATAACTTAAAAGCCGCTATAACTCCTCTCTATTGTATTGTTTCTTTGAATGACATCGTTTTCAGCTGCTTTTTAGTCAAGAATGACTAGATAACGTACTTTTAGTTACCTAAGTATATTGAGAAAAAATACTCATCAATTTGCCGTTGAAGTATGTTAACGTCTTTCTAGAGAAGTATTGTGGTTTAGCTGCAACTTGATTAAGAAGGTAAGGAAATTAATGTGGTTTAACTGCTTGACAATGTTCTGTATCTATAAAACTATTAATCGTAGAAAAATGATTCTTAAACCAAACGATAGAGCATCGAAAGTTACATAATGCTACATTAAAAAGTGACTGCCTCGTTGGCCCTGTGGTCGTAAATGCGACTGCTACAAGGGGTCTCAGGTTCGATTCTCGGGTAGGGCAAAATATTTCTGGGTTGTTTAAAAAATTCTCAGTAGTAGCACGGAGTTTGGAAATGTGCCCGGTATATGACAATAGGCTCACCCCCTATTACATGGGACTCATAACATAAATATTGAAAAGTGGGTATTACATTGTGGTACTAACTGTCGTGATGTGCATCTCTGTCTACCCCTTGCGGAATAAAAGTCATGATTTTATGTTATGTAAAAAGTGAAAAGCGACCAACTGTGGCTTAACTGCCTTTTAGTTAGTGGTCGGCAGATAAGTTATAAAGAACCAGTCTTTTATGACCTCGCTTTGTATGATCTATACACACATTCATCGGTCAGTTTATACTGGATGGTTAGGTTGATGTGCAGCGATGGGTACATGTTTCATCCAACATTTTGTTTATATTAAACGGATGCCTACTGCCTGGCTGTCTGGATAAATATTCAACGTACTTCGTCTGTCGGCGTCACATTCTTGATAACGTTTGGAACTGGTCTCTGATTGCGTCAGTCTTTGTTATTACATTTTTGTCCCTTTTATTTATTTCTGGTGTTATAAAAGTTTATGTGACGTAGGAAATATACCTACGTTTTAATTATATCATATTAGGAGACTGGCCATTTAGGAGAAACTAGTGAATTTATCTCTGCATATAGACTACAAACTCTGCATATAGGCAGCACACACGTCAATTTTTCAAACGAACGATGAGGTCGACATTTCCTAATTTGAGAAGAAATACCGAAGCAAACTCAGGGGTCCGTCTCTTTTAAAGTCACTATCGAACATTATCGTAGTAGGTTCATACAAATAGTTCAGTTATTTCTCTCGGCAGTCATGGGTAAAGTTCCTATTTTTACAAGCTCATTTCTATAGGTATCTAGGTACTATAAGTAAGCCAACCCAGATCTGAAGTAATAGTAACGTAACTCAGGAATCGAATGCAAGACACCACCACGTATACTAAACAATAAACAACATCAAAAAATACTTACTCCACTCCATCCGTAGGGTAAGAATCCGTTATGCTCAGTCCAGTTTGACACATCCACGTAAAACAAGCCAGCTGTCATGATGAAGACCCAAATGCTGAGGTTAATAGCGTTTAACAGGTTGTTGAAGAAAAGAGACTTCCGAACTCCAGCAATCAGGATCAGCATCATCATCAACGTTATTCCAAATGCCAGCACGTCAGGGGGTTTGCCTGTTAAAAAAAAATAGGTCATAAAAAAGTGAACGTTAATATTGCAAAATATAAAAGACATCTAGTTCATGGATACCTATCAGATTTATTCAATTTTGAAAAGAAGATTTGAAAGAAAATTACGAAAAGTGAATTATAGAGTACAAAATACCGAATTAATCTTTTTCCTGAAATATCAATCCACAAGCATTCTATTCGTGTTTTCGGAGAACTGTTTAATACTTTATTTAAATACCCATTACCCAAAACATATTTAAGAGAGGCCGTAACTAATCCTTCTTACTCCACAAAACACCGAGAACTAAAACAATTGATTCCATTTGAAAAATCTACTTACAGAATAAACTATAACAATATAACAACACAAAGGGCCGAAAAAGTAAAAGAAGGGACAAAAATAATAGATCTTAAATATAAAAGATACGGTTCCAAAATAAATAATGAGCGACAGAGCCTTCAAGAGAGGCAGACCTTACAAATAGCTTGGGAAAAGCGCTAGAATAAAAAGGCATATTCCGTCTATAGTATGTCGAGTTCATCCCGTTAGGCAACAAAGCGTAAATAAGTTATGAAGGTAAGTAGCTATCTTTTGTTACAACAGACTGCGAAACTGAAACATACATCGCAGTTGATATTTTGAATAGCTCTTTTGTTTAAACCGATTACTTAGGACTATAAGTGTGATAAATAGTTGTATTTTGCGACTTTTACGTAAATTGTGTAATCATTGATTTTACTCTACATCTTTTAAATATATGTTGACTTTATGTTAGTATCAGTATATCATCATAATTATATCATTCATAAGATATCCACTGCTGAATATTGATCTACCAAAGGTTCAGTATATTTTCGCATTCAACTTGGAATCAATTGATAATAGACTTCAAAGTACAGCATTTAATACATTACTGAATCTGTAAATATCATTATACTATACTAGTGTCCGTGAATGTTACTATCCCACTATCCCATGCTTTGCCCCCCTACTATCTTTTTCAAAATAAAAGGCGCGATATTTAATCCAAACTCCGTTGTTTCCAACGCTTTTACCGTAGCCAATTCTCGGCTTTGTATCGATTGTGTCCACGATTTTGTGCGAACATGTAATATTGTGTCCTCTCGTAATTGCGAAGCGACACAACACAGGACTTCTCGTTTGTAGAGATTAGCGCCGTGGTGTCGGCATGGCCAACCCGATCACATCAACCTTGTGATATGCATCTTTGGAATTCAATTTCTAGATGTTGTAGGCAGTTATAAATATTATTCTTTTATTGTATGCTAGAGTGATAAGTTTGGTTCACTTGATTTAAATTGTATTTAGTTTTTTGGGGTTATTACCTAAGTTGGGAGTACGATTTTGTACGGTTTGGCAATACTTCTCCAGTAACATTTCATTGATTTTTAGTGTGTTTTTCAGTGTACTAATCTAGGCTTGGTAAACAGGTCTTAGAACCACAACCACCTGACAAACGTTAAGAATATACAAAGCATTTCCATTTAAATTAAATTCGAAATGACAACAGTTTAGTTTGAACACTGCACTCAAAGTGTTGAGCCTAATGCGTTCTAAATGTTAACCTAACTTGGACCTTAAATGCATTAGCCTATTATCGAATCTCGCTTGATGCGGTACTGCTCTAGTAATGTTTAAGCGAGCTGTTACGAGATTTGATTAGCTGGCTTAGGTAGATTTAGCTAACTGTCGCTCGTTTGGCTTAGCTTACATGACATGACTCTAGGATCCAGGTACAGGTACAAACGCGGAAGCGGAAGCCTCACCCAGGCGGGAGAAGTCATTGGATGATTTTCCCCCCTCAAAAAAAAAAAAAAAAAAGGTACAGGTACAAGCCAGTGGTTAGAGCTTAAATTAGCATACAGATACAATTAAGTTTGCATGATTTCTCTATGTTTCTTTTGTTGTATACTCATTTAGATTAAATGGTTAATTGATTAGTTAAACAGTTAGAGTTTTATATTTATAGCTTACTAGCTGTTGCCAGTGACTTCGTACGCGTACTATATGGTTACTGTTTTATTCCATGGGGGCACTTAGTCGGGATAAAAACTATCCTATTACCTAAGTTAGTCCATACCCTGTCTGTATACTAAATTCAGTAGTTTCAGCGTAATTGACGGAAAAACACCCAAATACCACAGAAACTTTCACATTTATCATATTATTAGTGTGATTGATAAATAGGTTTCTATTAAAACAGCTTCGGATATCAGTTACAATTGTGTTTTGTTTACAACAGTTTTAAGTAAGACACGATGTTTTATTATTGCTTGTTTTAATAAAAGATCGTCGAGCGTACAAAACGGTAAGGTTTTAAAATAAATTACTGTAAAACCACTGACAAAATTACATTATAGTAGTAATAACGTCTCTTATATAAAATAAAATCTATTTCCACATATAAAATGTAAGTACAAAAAGTGTTTAATCGTTCACATACATGAATATTCAGCATGAGAAATGTTCTTTCGTCCGTGATTGGATTCACAATCAGTCGGCAGCCATTAATTCCAGCGCCTGTAACCTGCGCTCACATATTTCTTTATGAATAACGAGAAACAATCACAGATTGGACAAGAGAGGCCAGCTATTGGTACTTCCATTCATTATTGTGGTATTATTAAGTGTGTGATGTTAAGCCAAAATGATCAAAAATGGCCTCAAATAAAACATTAGTTGGACTCTAATAGCTATATATATAAACCGATATGTTATGAATTGTTATGCATTATCGATCAAATAGCTGTAACGTAATTGTGGCATACCAGAATAAGTTTTATTTTACTTTGCCCCACCCGAGGGTTTTCTCCTGTGTTGTGGATGTGCTTTCAAACCTAAAATATCATATACACATGACACTCCAGCCCCAAACCAACAATTTGTAGATCACACATAATATAAAAACGCCACAATAGCTTATTACAAGGTTTTGTTAGAAATTCAGTAGGTACGAGTACAAACTCGAGAATGTATGAATGATAAAGAAAACTATAAACTTGCCTATACGATGGAACCCATAAAATAACTTTCTTTGGCCTCTACAGAGAGTGAAGTTGTAACTTGTATAGTGGTCACTATTAAACAAGGTGACAACATAACAAGAAGGCGACCAGTTTGGATAATACATGAGTTTAAAACTTAAGTTTCAGTAAACGTGGCTCTGTACCGCCAACATATTACACCGTCCTTCAAACTTTCTAGGTTCGCACTTACCATCAAGTTGTAACAACTCTCAACTTAGGTTAAGTATCTTGAAATATTCATAAGTATAACAACCGTTCACCTATGAAAATAATAGTTCTTGTTACAGGCTGTTTGCTTTTTTTTAATTTGTCATGATTGTGATTTTGTACAAAAAATCCGTGCATAAAAAAGCTATATGAACGAGTTATTATATACCAGATGATAGGTTCATCATCTAATGAAGCGAAAGAGGTATGTAAGAATTGCAGCAATTGGCGTTCCATAGTCTCTGCCTACATGGGGATGGGAATGGGAGACAGACGTGAGGTTATATACCTATGTATGTATGAACCTACTGCTTCACACAAAAGGTGCTATATGAAATAGTTAACAAAATTTTGAGCAATACGTAAATCCCTCTTTATCTCATCAAGCTCATTAGACCAAAGAGGTGTGCTATATTAGTAGGTACTTAAAAATAGGGGCTAAAATACATTTCAAACTTTACCACCAACCTCCATTGCGTCAGTCACCACTGAAAATGGTCACTGTGGTCGTTTGGACGATACATACATTGGTTACACGTGTGCAATTAAACCACAACACACAGTATACAATGAGATTTGACGTTGAAACAGGCTGAATAATTTTGCCTATTTTGGGGACACCAAAAATAACTACCTACTTCTAAATGTGTAAAATTATGTCAATTGGAGCTATTAGAAGTATCTTCTCAGTGATTACTTAACTATGTTTTCAAAAAGTATATCAGTTGCTAGTTATATTCCAGATCTCATCTCGACACAAATAAAAACATTATATTGCTTTTTTTAACTCTAACATTTCTCTAAATTTTCTGGTCATGAATAATTTTCAGAAAAAGTAAAGAATAGAATCAGTAGATCCCTTTATAAACATGTCAATATACACAGCAAACTGAAGGTACCTATTAGAAAATTCTGTTCATAGAAGTCGCAGTGAATACTAAACCGGATACTTTAGACATAAGAGTAGCCTACACAAAAACGCAAAAAATGCGTAAACTTGAATTTCATGCACAAAATAAATGTTCTCGTGGAAAATTAACAGCGACGCAGATACGTTGGCTTAACTAGCAGTAGCGCCCCTGGGTATTCGTCCATTCGGCATCGCACGATATTAATATCTGCAACCGCGTTTGATTTTCGAAGTACCTATACGTTTCCTATGCGATTTCCTACAGCGCCACTTAAATATTCAGTCAAATCTAAATTAGTTATGTGGTTTCACATCTAAATACGGCAACATTTGCTTTCATAATACTAGTTAGTTTTGTGTAACTAAGTTTGGTCCGGTACTGAGTTTCAAAATTAGGATGGATGGATGTCAGTATTTTACTTGATGTAGTTCATAGGGCTTGGCTGTTTGTTCTTCTAAAGTAAATGTTAAGTTATCACTTCATACATGTGTATGTTTAAGGTTACTTAGCTTTCGACCGACTGATCTGGACGTCTTTGGTACCCCAAAGACGTTGTTCAGCAATACAATCTTAGTCATAATGATCATCATAGTCATTTCTCTTAATGCCAAGTCACGTCTCATTTACATGTTCTAATCCACACGCCAATTTTCTATCAAGAAATATGAAAAAGCTCATGTCACTGACACGTTAATCGTATCAGTACTTCACAGGACGGAGAAGAGTTCAACCATACTGTTAAGCACTCATGTTTGAGTGATAGGCTGACGATATCAATTTGTTCCTCAAGATACCCAACTGGTTAGCAGAAAAAGGAATCACCAAACTGCTCGGAAA